AATGGGGGGGGGAGTACGTGGGGTGCCCCCTAAAAGCCCCACCAAACCCTCAAAAAATGGGGGGGAAAAAGCATGGGGTCCCTCCTAAATTCAAGGACCTTTTCCACACAACGCTGGGCCGGTGGTTGTGGGGGTCTGTGTGCAGGGGGCTCATTAGCATCAAGGTACCCCTTTAAATAAGGGTGCACCCTGATTCTGCCCCCCCCTTGTGTAAGGGGTACCCATTCACTAAAGGGTTAAATTGAGTAAAAAATAAAAAGACCAGTCTTTTGAAAAATTCCTTTTTTGAGCAAAAAAACAAAACAAAACAACAGTTTTCTGAGTCCATTTTACTTATTATTATTTATTGAAAAAAAAAATGGTTCCATCTTTGTAATTCATTTTTAATCATGGTGTCCAGAGTTGACACGACGACACCGACTCGCTGAAATAAAAAAAAACCCTGCCGCTCACCGACCTTTCTGCACCCACTGAGTACTCATCACAATCTGACAGGTCTGACAGTTGCCGGTCAGATGTAAACAATTGGGCAGAGCTAGCAGTGATGTCACCGCTAGCTACGTCCAATTGTGCTTTGATTGGCCAAAGCATTGCACCTGGCCTGTGGTCAGGTGCATCACTGTGGCCAAGCAGAGTGCATTATGGGGCGCAGTGGGCTAACAGCCCACCGAAAACCCTTACCGTTCTGTTCGCCAAACACACGAATGGCCAATGTTACGTTCTTATGTTCGCCTCGAACACCTTTACCGTTCTGTTCGCCCAGACACACGAATGGCCAATGTTACGTTCTTATGTTCGCCTCGAACACCCTTACCGTTCTGTTCGCCAGACACACGAATGGCCAATGTTACTTTCTTATGTTCGCCTCAAACATCAAGGGCCATCACTATTAGTGACCTCTATAAAGAATGTCCTACTTACAGTGCCACCCTTACAGACATCTAGGAAGATCAATGGTGTCATACCACTAGTTCTTCTAAGTAGTGTTAGACCCAAAATGATGCAAGGACCATAAGATGAGAGGTCCATCAACCACAGTTCAAGGAACCCTTGCAAATTCTGGAGAACCCCTAGGGTTTCACATAACTCTTGTTCACAACAGCTGCTATGGACAGTCTACTCTGGGGAAACACACAATCCATGTCTATGTCTCCCCATTTTAACATTTGTTTTTACAGTGGAATATGCTCCCTGGTGACTACATGTATTTTGCTGGCTCTTTCAATTGTTATACTGGTACTTGAGTTCTAAGTAAGGCTCGGTTCACACTAGTGCAATTTCAGATGTGACTTGAGTCGCACAGAATCACATGACAATGGAAATCACATTGTTTTCAATGGTGTCCGTTCATATCAATGAAACTCACCATGGAATGATTTTGGAAAAGGTTCCTGCACTACTTTGGTGTGATTCCAGTGTGCTTTTGGCCCCATGAAATATGCAAACCACTAAAAAGTACCATCAATGTAGTGTCCAGCTATCATCCAATTTTCACTACATAATCGCACTTGGATCGAAATCAGATTGAAGAAGTGTGAACCTAGCCCTGACCTGTTTAGGCACAATACATTTTTGATAAAGACTTAGATGCATGTGTACCTTAAGGGAATGTGCCCTTTATTTTTCTTTTTGTGGTCCATGAAGCCTAAAAATGAGTTGATCTTATCTCTGTCAGACGGCACCTTTTTAAGTGACCAGACCAGCAGCATGCTTCTAACATGCTGGTTGTCTCAGTGCACCTCTGAGATTTGTGCTTCCTAGGTTTACCTGGCCTGCACCTGACCAGTTACTCTGCACTCTACCTCCCACATCTATGCCTATTCTAACATCAAAGGAAAGGTGGTAGGACTGACAACAGGCTAAAGGTGGATCTGCATGATCCAGCAGAACATCAGCATTGATGCTGGCTGCTGACCTTCCCCAACTTCTCCATCTGGCCCTTCAGCCCACTGTATCTGCAGTATTGTACCTTTCCGCTTGTTCCCTGCCATACAAGGAGAGAAAAGGTGACCAGTGATTAGATATTTACTAAAATCCTGCTAGAATTGTTACATTGTATCTCTTGTTACAAAGATTCTAATTCCATTTAATGACCATAATGTGGTATCTTACTACTGGCCATAAAACAACATTGGTTCAGAAGAGAAAATAACCTAATAACATTCATTTTTGCCCAATGCGCACAGAACAAATGTATGTGCAGATTTTCTGGACAAGCAGAAAGGAGGTCCTAAGTGGATGGTGATATTGACTAATTTACTGAATAACTCCAGGAATGGAAATAGTGTCTGTAGACAAGTATGTAAAACTGAAGTGAGGATCTTACTTTGCCAAGAGAGATACCATGGTGTAGGCCAAGAGAGTCTATGGTGGACGAAAATGAGATTACATTGGAGAAAATCCAGAACAATTGCCAAGAATGAAGTGACTGTAGGGGGTGTGTGTTGAGTGATAGTGTGACTGTCACACTTGTAAGAAATATTAGAAGGGAGAAGAGGAAATATCAGCACCATTAGCTGAATATGGGTTTTTTATTTTGGCCTGACTATTGTTTCTTTGGGGGTACTTTGGGGGATTAGTGAATTGTAGCACATCAAGTAAAAGATAAAAAAAAAAGAATCAGTCCAATATCTACTTATATAATATAAAGTTTGGGGCATAAGGCAGTAGAAGAAGCAATGTAATTAATCAAATAGCATTTTCCTGCTTTAACTTCAGTGCCTAATGATTTCTGATTATTATGTGTTAACATACTTCGCTTCATTCTTGCTTTCCCACTACTAAATACTCCCAAGTTTACGAGTACTGGTGTGTGAACAGACTCTCCATTTAATGATGCCAAGTTCTTGGAGAGCCCTTGGAGAGTAAAGCTGGCCATACATGTGTAGATTTTCGCACGAGAATATTAGTAACAAAAGTCGTATGAAAATTCTTTGTACATTCGATGAATGAACGAATGTTGTTCAAAAATTGTCTTTTGTTCTAATATTTGGTTTTAGAATGAATGTAATTTCTGAATGATAACCACATACACTGGCTAAAAATTTGATCGAGAAAAGTGTTCCTTCCCGCCCCTTCAAATTTTCCCATCACTGCTATCAAAAACGAGCATCAATTTGACCCCACTAATGATTAGAAAAATCAAACAAATATCCTGGAATTGGAACAAAAATCTATACGTGTATGGCCAGTTTTAGTCTGACCATACACACAGATTTTTTCATTCAGCCTGCAAAATCCAGCAGATTCCACCATCCGTGTTATACATTGCAGATGGACAAATCTTCCTCTGTGACGATTGTATTCTGGGCAGCTCTTAGAATACCTCAACATCGCTGTTTGAGATTGGCTGCAGATGCTGTTTGGTCAACAATGTTCCACCCAGCTAAGAATGTCAGGCCACCATTTAAGTGAATTTTGGCAGGTTCATCAAGAGCCAGATACAATTCACTCAGTGTATGATCAGCTTGATACTTAATGGAGAAAAGCTTAGTGGGTACTGCATGCAATTTAAAAACATTTCAGATTGAAGACTTTTACCCTTTGTTAGCAGAAAGGGTAAAAAAATGCTGGATAATACTGGAGAGTACTGGTAGTATTTTGTCCTCATGCACACTGGACGTTTTGATAATGTTAGCTGTGTAAAGTCACGTTAAAAATGTGAGTTTTTCAGCTTTTTTTAGCGTTTTTGCAGTAGTGTTTAGTGGCGTCATGCTGCGATTTTCCACATTTCCATTTTTTGGTGTTTTTTTACCCAAAAAAACCATCAAAAAATACTGGTTTGTGGCATTTTACCACGTTTTACTGCGTTTTTCAGCATTAGAGCATTTTTTACAGCTCTAAAACTCCTCTAGAAACCCACTAGTCCTGGGTTTTCTTTCCAGCCAAAAAAACGTCCCAGCTAAAAAATGTTGATTACAGTCTATGTGTGCATAGACACATAGGATAACATGCTGGGGAGTTTACTGGCTGTAGAAAAAAACATCAAAAGCCAAAAAGAGCCGCTGTAAAAACGTCCAGTGTGTATGAGGACTTTGTAGCAGAGTAAAGTCCCTTTTTGTTTGCCTTTGCATGTAGGCCTTTGCCACTATTTCATTTTATGTCGCAATTTAGAAACCTAAAATATTTATAGTGTGACTTTGTTAAAATTGTTTTAACAAACAAAATTGTTTTAAATTGTTAAAGAGGTTTTTCACCCTCTTCAAATAATTATCCAAAGTCATAATCCACAAAAACTGTAGCTGTTGACTTGTAATAAAAGGACACTTATCTGTTCAGGGATCCAGCGTTGTCCTCACCCAGGCCAGTTCTTCGCTGGTCTTCAGGTCCCTGGTGCTGGCATATTAACTGTGGGAAGCTGGCTGTGATTTCTTGTGGCTTCACAAATAGACTCCAGATGTACATACTTGAGCCGCGCTGCGCTTTGTGAATGGTCCTGCAGCCTTCTGAGACCTATGACATGTCCCAGAAAGTTGCAGGCGAAGGGGGAACTTCCGGTGGAATTGCCTGGGGGAACTTCAGATGGAATCGCCTAGGGGGACTTCCGGTGGAATTGCCTAGGGGGACTTCCAGTGGAATCGCCTAGAGGGACTTCCAGTGGAATCGCCTAGGGCAGTGATGGCGAACCTATGGCACGCGTGCCAGAGCTGGCACGCAGAGCCATCTCAGTGGGCACGCCAGGAGGAAGAGAGGAAGAGGAAGAGAACGCGCTCTCCTGCGCACCTCCGGGGGCGCGCACCGGGCGATCTCCGTGATCGCTGTGTCCTGCGGACACAGCTGATCACGTGACATGGTAAAAGGCCAATCACAGCGGCCTTTTACCACGTGATCAGCCGTGTCCAATGACACGCTGATCACCGGGAAATGCAAATGCCGGTTCTCGGCTGCACTTTCCTCACGCTGTCAGATCGTGAGGAAAGTGTTGTCAGAACAGGGATCGGCACTGATCATCAGGGTCACTGATCATCAGTGCCCTGATGATCGGTGCCCACCTGTGCCACACACAAGTTCCGCCCACCTGTGCCCAGCAGTGTGCCCACCTGTGCCCAGCAGTGCGCCCACCTGTGCCCAGCAATGCACCCACCTGTGCCCAACAGTGCGCCCACCTGTGCCCAGCAATGCACCCACCAGTGCCCACCTGTGCCGCCCACCAGTGCCACCCACCAGTGCCCATCAGTGCAGCCCAGCAGTGCTGCCAGTCAGTGCCACCAGTCAGTGCCCAGCGGTTGTGCCAGTCAGTGCCCAGCAGTGATGTCAGTCAGTGCCACCTATCAGTGCTGTCTATCAGTACCCATTATCAGTGTCGCCTATCAGTGCCACCTATCTGTGACACCTCATTAGTGCTGCCCATCAGTGCCACCCATCAATGATGCCCAGCAGTGCCGCCGGTCAGTGCCGCCTGTCAGTGCCGCTTATCAGTGCCCATCATTTCCTGCATATCAGTGCATCATCAGTGCCTCCTCATCAATGCTCACCAGTGCCGCCTCATCAGTGCTACCTATCTGTGCCGCCTCATCAATGCCCATCAGTGCTGCCTATCAGTGCAGCCTCACCAACGCACATCAAAGAAGAAATATTACCTGTTTGCAAAATTTTAGAATAGAAGCAAAGGAAACCTTTTATATTTTTAATTTTTTGCTCTTTTTTCATTTATAGTGCAAAAAATAAAACACCCAGTGGTGATTAAATACCACCAAAAAAAGCTCTATTTGTGTGAAAAAATGATACAAATTGCATATGGTTACAGTGTTGCATGACCGCACAATTGTCTTTGTTAAGTGCAACAGCACTGAAAGCTGAAAATTGTCCTGGGCAGGAAGGGGGTAGAAGTGCCCGGTAGGCAAGTGATTAATTCCAGTGTTGGCACTTTGAAATAAAAAAGTTGGTTTTGTGTTGCAGTTTGGGCACTCGGGCTCAAAAAGGTTCGCCATCACTGGCCTAGGGGGACTTCCGGTGGAATCGCCTACGGAGACTTCGGGTGGAATCGCCTAGGCGTCTCGACCGGAACTGGGAACACTTCCCATAGAAGAAGAGGGGGAAAGAAAGCATAAAGCAAAACTTCCTCTAAGTGTTGTAGGACATGCTATATGCCACAGAAAAGATTAGGAATACTCCAGGATGAGTTTACACGCAACTTGGTCATGCTGTACTGTACTTGACTGTCTCTGAGGACACCTTGGAAAAATGCAGTATACTGTTGTGTGGACAAAGATGTTAAAAGAACTGTTCTCTGTTTCATGGCATTATATTGACATTGACTGTCAGTCAAATTCAACAGTTATATGAATATTCAATCCATAACCTTTTTGCTCTGTAACGTTTTTTAGCTACGTCTTGTGCAGTTTGTCCACTACCCCTCCATATAATGAGGTTCTATGGTGCCTTGAAAAAGAATTCATACCCCTTGAAATTTTCCACATTTTGTCATGTTACAATAAAAAGCGTAAATGTATTTTATTGGGATTTTATGTGCTAGACCAGTGGTGGGCAACCTTTTTTTTCAACTGAGCCAAATCTCGCCAAAACCATGATTGCAATTTATTTTGAGAGCCACATTTTTAAAACTGAAAATACATCTCCCATATAGTAATTCATTCCCCATATAGTAATTCATCCCCCATAGTGTAATTCATCCCCCATAGTGTAATTCATCCCCCGTATAGTAATTCATCCCCCGTATAGTATTTCATCCCCCGTATAGTATTTCATCCCCCGTATAGTAATTCTTCCCTCATTATAGTATTTCATCCCTCATATAGTATTTCATCCCCCCATATAGTATTTCATCCCTCATATAGTAATTCATCCCTCATATAGTATTTCATCCCTCATATAGTATTTCATCCCCCCATATAGTATTTCATCCCTCATATAGTATTTCATCCCCCCATATAGTATTTCATCCCTCATATAGTATTTCATCCCTCATATAGTATTTCATCCCCCCATATAGTAATTCATCCCTCATATAGTATTTCATCCCCCCATATAGTATTTCATCCCTCATATAGTATTTCATCCCCCCATATAGTAATTCATCCCTCATATAGTATTTCATCCCTCATATAGTATTTCATCCCCCCATATAGTAATTCATCCCTCATATAGTATTTCATCCCTCATATAGTATTTCATCCCCCCATATAGTATTTCATCCCTCATATAGTATTTCATCCCCCCATATAGTATTTCATCCCCCCATATAGTATTTCATCCCTCATATAGTATTTCATCCCTCATATAGTAATTCATCCCCCCATATAGTAATTCATCCCTCATATAGTAATTCACCCCCCATATAGTAATTCACCCCCCATATAGTAATTCATCCCCCATATAGTAATTCATCCCCCATATAGTAATTCATCCCCCATATAGTAATTCATCCCCCATATAGTAATTCATCCCCCATATAGTAATTCATCCCTCATATAGTAATTCATCCCCCATAGTAATTCATCCCCCATATAGTAATTCATCCCCCATATAGTATTTCATCCCTCATATAGTAATTCATCCCTCATATAGTAATTCACCCCCCATATAGTAATTCACCCCCCATATAGTAATTCATCCCTCATATAGTATTTCATCCCCCACAGTACTATTCCCCCCCCCCCCCCCCCCCCCCCCCCCCCCTTCTAGTAAGCCAAGTCCCCCGTGTCAATTCACTTACCTTTTGCGTTCCTCTCGCTGTCTTCCCGCGCCGTTCGGGTCTTCAGGGCGGACTGTGAGAGGAGCCTAGCTCCCCTCCCCTCACGTTCGGCACGCTGCCCCGCCTACACACATCCTGACAGCCACATCCGCGGGGCCGGATTAAAAGGTCCGCGCGGACTTTTGGGGCTGCCAACCGAGAGGAGGCAGGGGAGCGGCCGACCGAGAGGAGGGAGGGGAGCAGGCGCCCGGCACACAGGAGAGCCGCATTAGAGTGGGTAAAGAGCCGCATGTGGCTCGCGAGCCGCGGCTTGCCGACCACTGTGCTAGACCAACACAAAAGTGACACAGAATTGTGAAGTGGAAGGAAAATGATAAATGGTTTTCAAATTTTTTTGCAAATAAATATGTGAAAAGTGTGGTGTGCATTTGTATTCAGTCCCCTTTACTCTGATACCCCTAACTAAAATCTAGTGGAACCAATTGCCTTCAGAAGTCACCTAATTAGTAAATAGTCCACTATGTGTAATGTAATCTCAGTATAAATACAGCTGTTCTGTGAAGCCCACAGAGGTTTGTTAGAGAACATTAGTGAACAAACAGCATCATGAAGGCCAAGGAACACACCAGACAAGTCAGGGATAAAGTTTGCAAGTCTTTCAAGACTTGAAAATTGCTGTTCACAGACACTTTCCATCCAATCTGACAGAGCTTGAGCTATTTTGTAAAGAAGAATGGGCAAAAATGTCACTCTCTAGATGTGCAAAACTGGTAGAGACATACCCAAAAAGACTTGCAGCTGTAATTGCAGTGAAAGGTGGTTCTACAACAGTGGTTCTCAACCTTTCTAATGCCGCGACCCCTTAATACAGTTCCTCATGTTGTGGTGACCCCCAACCATAAAATTATTTTCGTTGCTACTTCATAACTGTAATTTTGTAGTGGGAGGAGTAGTGCCACGTCATTGGTGTCAGTGGGAGGAATAGTGTCCCATCATTGGTATCAGTGGTAGGAATAGTGCCCCATCATTGGTGTCAGTGGGAGGAATAGTGCCCCATCATAGGTGTCAGTGGGGGGAATAGTGCCCCATCATTGGTGTCAGTGGGAGGAATAGTGCCCCATCATTGGTGTCAGTGGGAGAAATAGTGCCCCATCATTGGTGTCAGTGGGAGGAATAGTGCCCCATCATTGGTGTCAGTGGGAGGAATAGTGCCCCATCATTGGTGTCAGTGGGAGGAATAGTGCCCCATCATAGGTGTCAGTGGGGGGGAATAGTGCCCCATCATTGGTGTCAGTGGGAGTAATAGTGCCCCATCATTGGTGTAAGTGGGGGGAATAGTGCCCCATCATTGGTGTCAGTGGGAGGAATAGTGCCCCATCACTGGTGTCAGTGGGAGGAATAGTGTCCCATCACTGATGTCAGTGGGAGGAAAAGTGTCCCATCACTGGTATCAGTGGGAGGAATAGTGCCCCAACACTGGTGTCAGTGGGAGCAATAGTGCCCCATCATTGGTATCAGTGGGAGGAATAGTGCCCCATCATTGGTATCAGTGGGAGGAATAGTGCCCCATCATTGGTGTCAGTGGGAGGAATAGTGCCCCATCGTTGGTGTCAGTGGGAGGAATAGTGCCCCATCGTTGGTGTCAGTGGGAGGAATAGTGCCCCATCGTTGGTGTCGGTGGAAGGAATAGTGCCCCATCATTGGTGTCAGTGGGAGGAATAGTGCCCCATCGTTGGTATCAGTGGGAGGAATAGTGCCCCATCGTTGGTGTCAGTGGGAGGAATAGTGCCCCATCGTTGGTGTCAGTGGGGGGAGGAATAGTGCCCCATCATTGGTGTCAGTGGGGGGAGGAATAGTGCCCCATCGTTGGTGTCAGTGGGGGGAGGAATAGTGCCCTATCGTTGGTGTCAGTGGGGGGAGGAATAGTGCCCCATCGTTGGTGTCAGTGGGGGGAGGAATAGTGCCCCATCGTTGGTGTCAGTGGGGGGAGGAATAGTGCCCCATCGTTGGTGTCAGTGGGGGGAGGAATAGTGCCCCATCGTTGGTGTCAGTGGGGGGAGGAATAGTGCCCCATCGTTGGTGTCAGTGGGAGGAATAGTGCCCCATCATAGGTGTCAGTGGGGGGAATAGTGCCCCATCATTAGTGTCAGTGGGAGGAATAGTGCCCCATCATTGGTGTCAGTGGGAGAAATAGTGCCCCATCATTGGTGTCAGTGGGAGGAATAGTGCCCCATCATTGGTGTCAGTGGGAGGAATAGTGCCCCATCATTGGTGTCAGTGGGAGGAATAGTGCCCCATCATAGGTGTCAGTGGGGGGAATAGTGCCCCATCATTGGTGTCAGTGGGAGTAATAGTGCCCCATCATTGGTGTAAGTGGGGGGAATAGTGCCCCATCATTGGTGTCAGTGGGAGGAATAGTGCCCCATCACTGGTGTCAGTGGGAGGAATAGTGTCCCATCACTGATGTCAGTGGGAGGAAAAGTGTCCCATCACTGGTATCAGTGGGAGGAATAGTGCCCCAACACTGGTGTCAGTGGGAGCAATAGTGCCCCATCATTGGTATCAGTGGGAGGAATAGTGCCCCATCATTGGTATCAGTGGGAGGAATAGTGCCCCATCGTTGGTGTCAGTGGGAGGAATAGTGCCCCATCGTTGGTGTCAGTGGGAGGAATAGTGCCCCATCGTTGGTGTCAGTGGGAGGAATAGTGCCCCATCGT